GAGAAGATGAAACCAAGCTGCTCCTTGGAGGCAAGGATTTTGAAGTTCAGTTTCACATACTTTGTACATGCTGCCAAGAGGGATCAGTCTTTAGAGAAGGACATTATGCTTGGAAAAGTGGAGGGACAGTAAAAGAGAGGAAGACCCTTAGGTGAGATGGACTAACTTAATAACTGGGGTAATGAAAGTAGGTATGTTGAAGATAGTTAAATTGGCTCAGGATAGGGCAAAGTTCAGAGCTATTGTACACAGTGTCACTACTAATCACAGGCGACTCAACAGCACACAACAAAATACCACTTTATTTTAAGGAACCCCAATTGCATAGAGTGTTAAGCATTAACTAAGGGAAGAAAGATCAGAGTTGACTCCCATATTCACAGCCTTCAATACCGGATAAGCAGTTTTACTATTTTATAGGATCGCCGTATGTTGGAATCTAGTCAACAGGTAATGAGATTTGGCTTGGACTTTAACAAACAAACAAAAAAGAGTTGTCATCTAACCAGAACCAACTCTTGGCTGACCGCTCATTGGGTTCTGAGACTGTGAATTTCTGGGTAGATTGGCTATCCTGCTCCTGTGGAGCACTGGTGAATTCTAACCAACAGACAAGCACACAGCCTTTGAGTTATCAGAACAATGCCCTGTAAACTAGGCCAAGCTTTGTTTATTTTCAATTCTGTTAGATGGATCTTGGCTGAAAGCAGGGAATACCAGAGGAATGTATACCTGCGTTTCATTGACTATGCAAAGGCATTTGACTGTGTGGATCATAACAAACTGGGGCTGACTCTGAGAAGAATGGGAATCCCAGAACACTTGATCGTGCTAATGCGAAACCTATTCTTGGACCAAGAAGCAGTCGTCAGAACAAAGCAAGGAAACACTGCATTGTTCAAAACTGGGAAGGGCGTATGCCAGGGATGTGTCCTGTCTCCATACCTTTTCAACCTGTATGCAGAACAGATATCCCAGAGGCTGGGCTCTATGAGGAGAAGTGTGGCATCAGGATTGGTGGAAGATCTATCAACAATCTGTGTTATGCAGATGACACAACCCTGCTTGC